GAAGCGATTACACTCCAGAGCAGAAGGTGGCGGTACTGCGACCAAAGCCAACCGCCAGTAGTAAACAAGAAGAAGAAGCGAAGCAGCTTAGCCCGGTGTAGCAGGGGAAAAAAATCAGTTGTTGTGGAGAATTGTCGGACTGGCGAGTGGGAAAGAACAAGAGTTGGAAGACGTGCCAGCAGCACTTTATCGGTCTGCTGTATGGGAGCGCTTTGCATTTAGAGGGACCTACGATGACGGCGGAAAGAAAGTTGTGGAACGGTGTGCAAGCATTGTGCAACACGTTTTGTTTATGCTAACAGCAACATGTCATGCTAACCCCGAAATCCCACATACTCCGTCAGCAACCCCCCCTGCGCTCCAGACCGGCTGCTCAAAGCAAAGCTACAGCCTCCACTGTGGCTTCGTCCGCTCCCCTCTGAGTCCCTTGGAGATGGTAGAGAGCAGGCGCCAGATGATTAAATTCAAAGCAGCAAAACATACGGAAATGATCCAGGGTTTTTGCGGATCATTTAAAATAATTACAATCCATTATTTTTTGGGGGATTTTTTCATTAATTTCATAAATTATTATGGGATTTCGGTGTAACAATCAACATGTATCGAATTGAACCGAAAACCGTGACCAGAAACCGTGAATTTTGTGAATAATATCAAATGTTTTATATAAAAAAAAAATCATTTTCCTGCAAGAATAAATGTTAAATGAATAAACCATATACAGCAGTCCTGTATTTACAATCCATTTCAATTGTCTATTTTCATGTTATATTTTTTGAGAAACCAATTGAAAGTTATTGAAGTGTGATGTATTTTTATTAGACTTAATTAATTTGCCTTTTTTGCTTTCCTGGAACATCTTTTAATGTATTCTGCCTGATTTTTTATTTTTTCCCCCACGTGTTATAAAGCCTAGAGCCTGGAAGCATAGAAAGAGAGACCCTGTGAAGATTCAAAGGCTTGACTCCGAAGATTTGAACTGGAATTTCTTCATCCTTAAAGGTCTGTAAGAGTTAAATATTCTCTTTTTAGCTGAGAGGTAAATCTGAATGGTGAAGTGTGTAACATCCTCAAGACTGAAGCAAGTCAAAGCGCTTCCAGTCCCTTTGTTGTTTTATCTTAGATCCAGCATCTTTAAAATTAAAATTTTTTTCTGTGAATTATATCTGCTGTGAACATTTCATATAACTTCAGTAAATTGTTTCTGTTTCAGTTTTTCCTGTTTATTTTAAAGTATATTCTAACAAATGTCTGATAACTGGGGTGATTGTAAATCTTTAAGACACACCCTGTTGCTTTCTGTTATTCCAGGAAATGTACTTTTAAAATCTTGAGGAAAAGATTTTATTTTAATATGAAGCATCACATTTTGGAAAGTTTCCATTTTGTGAAGTGTTATTTTCTCCCGTCTGAATAGTTATTCAAAAACATCTACAATGATGTTTGTATTTAGGGCTGTGAGCGATGCAGCTAAAAAATGTATACCTGTAAGCTTTTCATATCAGCCTATATCAATGACTAAGGATTTAATTTATTTGAAATAACCGGGGGGGATTAAATTCCACCCCTGACTGTATTCCAACATAATCTTATAAATTCAGCTCTACCACAAGCATTGCTTGGGAGTGAGGTTGAGAGACCAATTCCCAAAATGCCATGTGGATTTGTATATCGAGGTTCAGTGAAATTAGAGCATTTGATCAGACTTATTTTGTAATGATGCTGACAGGGTGTCAATGAAATTAGATCCTGTGGTTGTTTAATTCCTCAGGCCTGGTGCATTGCATGTTGGAATTTAAATCTGCTGATGATGTCTCTGTGTCTGGAAAAGCTTTCTTTATTTTGGAGGTGACTGTGATGAGTTGCACTATTAGCCAGGCTGCTGTTTGCAGTGGCACAGCAGGCCTGACCTGACTCCTATGTGTTGACAACCTATTGTGCACAGGGGCCATCTGAGTCACCTCCTTTGTGAGAAAAGTAAAGACTATCCTCTTATGGTCTTCAGTTTATGGGTTTGCATTTAATTGTGCTGTTTGTTTGTTTTTGTTTTTTTTCTTTTCCTCCACAGATGATTGAAGAGGTAACAGAGGATGACTTTTAGCAAGAATGTGTCTTGCCAACAAAGTTTCTTTAGAACAAGTTAAAGAACTTCAAAACTGGTGAGCATATTAAATCTTAAAAAAAAAAAAAAACAGGTAAAATTATCTGGGTAAATTTGTATTGAAATGTTAGCGGAAGCCCCAGGCCCAACTTTCAGGTCTATTTAGACTTTTTCAATGATCAAAATCCAGATTAGGCCTTACAAATGATTGTTAGTCTTTTTTTTTTTTTTTTTTAAGGCCTCAAATTTCTTATGCCCATGTAACAGGACCTCGGGATGCAAAATAAATTCCAGTCCAACTTGATGGTCCGTTAACAGAAATGGAAGGGGTATTGCTGTCGTCATGTAACGGCAGTTTAATGGTTTGACAGCAGCCTTGAACACTATTACCTTTTATATAAAGAAGGCCCACAGAATGGAGGGAGCTAGGTGTAGTGGTGCTGGAGTCGCTTTCAGAAAGCGCTGTGATTGGTCAGAGATGGAGGACGACTGTCTATTAGATCTGCTGCTCTGCCAGCAGCCCAGCACCAGTGATGATACTGCGCACCCAGAGAGTCGGTGGTTTGGTAATTCCAGAAACGACCTGTGTCGTCTTTAGATCAGAACTTGCATACAATCAGCTGTTCTCTGAACTGGACACATTCTGACTAATCACCACTCGTACAGCGTAAAAACATCAAGTTATTTAAAAGTGACTTTAGACTAGTTGGACTAAGGGGAATTTATTTCTTGGTAATCTAAATGATTAATTTTCCTGCTTTCTAATGCCTTTGGCTGCTATGCAAATGTTCCAGTGAGGCTCTGCTAAAAGAATGAGCAGTGGCGCCCTCTGGCAGGACAGGGGTAACATTACAACACTTGAAAGGCATTCCCCCTCAGCAGATGTTATCAATTGATCAGGATTAAAAAAATTTTATATAGAACCATTTTGCTTTGTAATTGCATGGAGGCCTTGCAGGCCTTGGAGCCTTAAGATTTAAAAAATATAAATGGAAACATCCAAAAAGCAGATCAGCAGTTGGAAGAAAGGTTCAATGTTTTAAGGCCTTTGATGGTTTTACCATTAACTATGGAAAAGGATTATATTTTTGATGAGCTGTTTAATGCAAATAAAAACCCCTTATTTTTTTAGCTGGATTTTTTATTTTATTTTTTTTTATATCTTGATTTAGCAGTTTAAATCCTGTCTCTCTAAGGTATAAATATTTCAGGGATAAGCTAGATGTGTGATGTCATCTCTCCTTGGATTTAACAAGTAGCTGTAATGCAACACTTGTTGGAGAAGCAAGTATTTCCAAGGGGCTTTATGCGGGATCTGCTTGCACTTTAGCACTGTTGAAAAGTTGTCTTTCAGTGTTTACTGCACAAAAGTGTGATGATCAAGTAAAGTTATATTTTAAGACAAAAAACAATTAATCCAAAAAAGGTAAAGTTTCAATTATCTTCAATGTCGTAGCATTTACAAGATGTGTTTCTTTTAATTTAACTCCAATTCTCAGAGAAACATTTAATATATTTTTCAGGCTTCATCCATAATTCCTATTTTCTCTTTCCAGTTAAGTCGCCCTGCAGGCTTCCATCCATAGATATCCTGTCCTTTTTGTGCGGGTCATATTACAATGGAGGGGACCAAACCACCGCATTGAGCAGGTGAGATGGTGCTCACCTTCAAAATGATGGAGAGGAAAAAAAACAACTGTTTGCTTTCTGTCACTCGATTCATCTCTCCTCTTCTCTTTTGTCCTTGGCAGACCGTTGAAGTGAAATGAGTCGTACGTTCTGGACAGTGTGAACAACTTGAAAACGTCAGGAAGACTTAAAACTTGGGCAATCGTCTGTGCTGCTTTTTTTTTTATTGCTGGCTGTTCCTTGACTCTTGGTGTTCTTGTTGCGGTTTGTCAGAGGCGATTACAGGTTCAGGGGTTTTCTTGCATCAGCAGCAAGCACACATTCAGCGTTTAGCTTTTTTAACCAGGAAGGTTTTGTGATGCAGAAAGTCTTTGTTTTGGACAGTGTATTGAACTTTTGATAAATATATTTCTCGAGAAATGCTGCAAGGGTGAATGTATTTCCCTTAATGGAAAATAAAATAAGTTGGACATTTTACTGAAGGACAGACGTCAGTGCACAGTATTTAAAATTCAGTTAGACAGTCAGTGTGGCCTGTTAAACAATTTATAGGATCACCATTTCAAAGCATTTTTATGGGCAGTTGTACAGAAAAAAGAAGATATCTAGAAGTACGTATCAAAAAGTTTTCTAAGTGTGGTACTCCTTTTTATTTCCATGTCTAGGCCGTTCCACAACATAACTCCTGCTTGGCTGAGCCCCAGACTTTTAAGTGCGGTGCGAACACCACAGCATCTCAACACAAATTCTCTCAAATTATAATTCTCTAAAAAAAATTTATGTTGCCAGGAAGTAGATCAAGGCTTTCTTTGTACACTAAAGCAAGAGTTTTAAATTTGTGTGAGTCTTGAATTCTCATGATGTCAGATTTTAGGAAAAGTGCATTAGTGTGATCTTTGAATCCTACATTATGGATGATTTGTAAAGCTTTTTTTCTGAAGTTTGATAATTGAATCTAGATTAAAAATAATAATTGAACACTATTGATCTCACATTGGAGAAATATATCCCTGCATTTAACTCATTCCCTTGGGGAGTAGTGGGCTGCCATTGTGCAGAGCCCGGGGAGCAGTGTGGGGTTAAGGGTCTTGCTCAGGAACCCAGAGTGCAGGCTGTGGGGATGGAACCAGGTCATGCAACCTTCTAAGAGCACAAGCGCACTGCTCTAACCACTAGGTGCTCTAACCACTAGGCCAACTCTCCCCAGATTACTTTTGTACGTATTACCCCAAACCTCTATGCAATACTATATATATATATATATATATATATATATATATATATATATATGACAGAACTAATGCATTGTAGAGGATATGTCATGCCCTATAATCTCTCTAGACAGTATTGCTATAATTCTTGCCACTTCTGATTAGACATTTTTTTTATTTGGGCTTTTCAGCTTACATCATGACTTAAAATCATGCCCAGAAATGGATGTTCATTAACTCTAAAATGAACGTCTTAATATTTACTTTATTGTCTGGCCATTTGCCAAAGAATACAATTTTAGTTTTAGGAATATTCATTGATAATTTATCATCAAACAGTTGTTTTAACTCGTTTAATTCTTTAAAGAAATCAGTCGTTAGGAACTGTAGACCTTTCTCTGATTTTGCAGAGATATGACAAAGGTCGTTTTATATATAACAGTTTAAGGCCCAAAATTAATCCCTGAGGCACACCACGAGTTATGTACTTTCTAATAGATCTCTTCTAACTGTACATTCCCTATTAGACAAGTAGGCATTGACCCAGTGGAGTGGAACTCTTCGAATGGACTTTACAACATTTGACATTAACAATCTGTACAAAGCATGGCAAAATAACAATAAACTCATTTAGGGCTAGAAAATTATTTTCAGTATAACTTCAATTTTGCCAAAACAATTCGAATCACAGAGAGATCCATGAATGTTAGTAAAAGTAAGCAATCTCCCACGTGATGCAACAGTTGAGGCCTTTAGCTTACAGACTAGATAAGCTTTCAGAGTCTTGAAAAGAATAAAACTAGAGTGAAACGTCTACACATTTTTGGTTGGTGCGTAGGAAAAGCAAAGTAAAATTGAAATATTGATTGGAGAGGAAAAAAATCATACAATTGCATGTCTTGAATATGGTTAGAAATAAAGGAACTGCTTCTTAATGCCGAAGGTGAAGAAAAGAGGCAGCTGACTAATCGTTACTATGGTTACCACCAGCCAAGATGACTTGTACTACAAATAAAACCCAGTAGCCAAATAACTAATTTACAATCTTATGCGAGTAGTCCAGGACACACTGCAATATGGATTTAATCATCTTTTGGTACAAGGTGTGAACACAGTTTACTGACTAAATTGCTATCCGGAAATGTGATAAACTAATCTTGCCAATCTAAATATATAATTTATGGGAGGAAACAATCATAATGCTAAAGGGTTTGGTTTGAAAATGAAATTATGTCTATTAATAATTACTTTGTTAAATCTTTCAGTTTGTGTTTATACACACTCTTTGAAACTGTTATGTTTAATATGGAGGAGAAATCAATGGTTCAATTTTGTTGTGAGTCCATCAACCTGGCTTTAATTCGTCTAGTTACCTGTAAATCTCCTAGCTAAGAACCTCAAACAATGCAAACCATGAGCTCTTCCTGTTGCATATGAATTTCACTGAGATACTGTTTTTTTTTTGTTTTGTTTTTTTACTGACATTGTTTTTTTTTTTCCATTTCCTGATGTTAATACGCAGCTGAAAAGTTCCGGGGTTCATTTATTTCCAATATTCATGTTATTACAGAACTTAAATGGGATGGACTTTTCCAAATTGTATTAAACTGCTTTGAAATCTTTTACCTTTTGCTGTGTTCTGCTTCCAACCACTAGGGGGCAGGTGTACTTCATTGTTTTTCTGCTATTCTCTATACAAATGTCAACAGTTTACATGTGAGTCAATAACATGAACACATGCCCGTCAACAAATTAACATTTTTATTATAAAAGTAGGTTTTATGTTGCAGATGAAAATATTTACCCCCACCTTATATACACACATATGTCCACAGGACAGGTTATAACATTTGTCCAACTATATTAAAAGTTACCTTGGGCTTCTTGAAAAGAAATGTGCATCAAAATTGAAAAGAAATTGAAACTGTTCGGTAGTCAGGCTAATTTAAAAACACCCCATATGTCATAAGACCTTGTAATAAGTGCGTTTTTGATGTATATGTAAGTCAGGTTTTTACTGCACTTCTCTGTTTTCCTCCCACGTTCAGCTCCGAGCTGTAGATGATTCACACCTGTGCTGGCTGGAGAGTTGAGTACATTAAGCTTTAATTTTAAGCTTCTTTTTTTTTACTGCTTTTGTTGCAACTGTTAAATTGGCTATTTTCTCCCTAGAGTATAAACTCTCCTGGAATAGAAGGAACTCAAACTACTTTAATCCAGGATATAGCTCTACCAGTGAAGGGTACATTAAGAACATTCAGTATGAATCAAAGGAAATGTCAGGAATGAAAGGAACTCGACGTTGAGGTACAAGGCAGATTAATTATTCATCTTGTTAATGGTGAGCTGACACCGAATTCCTTTAAAAAGCAGGGCCACACAGGCCGTATTCTTTTTCTAAAGCCCCCAGTTGTCATTTTTCACCTGAACTCTTCAACATCGCCTGCCTGTATTCGCTGTGTTACTTAACAGAAGCATGCCCTCCTCCTAGACTTCTTTTTCCCTCTAATAGAAAATGACTGCACTGGACTCAAGGCTGACATGCAGGCTGGTGAGAAGTTGCACAGTGTCATTTGGAGGAGGATAAATCTGTTTTGTCAGCCTGCGTGGACTGTTCAGATGCTTTCAACACTGAGCTTTTGACTGATATTGGAAGAATGATGTTACAATATGTGTGATCTCACTGCCTGTCTCAAGTTAGAACTTCTCTTACCTTTTATATAAGTGCTTGCTGGTCAAGAAATGTGTTATTTGGTTTTATTTTATTTATACAGCATGGATTACACAGTGAACATCAGGACTACATTTGAAAAAAATAATTGTACCACTGGTCATTTCAAAGTAAACATGAGCTATGGAAGAAGGACGGCACTCTGAACCCTTAAGATTTTAGCACCATGACTTCAACACATTAATTTCGATGAATTAATAGGAAACATTTTAAGGAGGTAAATAAATTAATGTAATTAATTGCATTTTCTTATACCTATGCACACAAACAGAAGGGAGCGTACATTAGTAAATAGAATGTAATTTATACATTCTTTCTACTAATAAAATTTATCTTTCGGTTTTATCAAACTTAACCCTTTAAAGCCCAATCCAAGAATAAAACAAAACAGAAAAATCCTTTTTTTTTTTTTTGAAGTCCTTATTTGGCCTTTTAACAAAATATGTAAAAAGAAAAAACAGAATTTTTTTTTTATATTAATAATTTATTACTATGCGATAAGTCAAGGTTATTTTTTGTGTAGTCTTCTGCCCTCTTATCAGGTATATCTGATTGTGTACAATAGGATTTTGATCAAAGTTTTTACCATTAAATTATGCAAAAGGTGTCAGACGCAAAACATTTCAGAAACCGTATGTATCAAATATGACACATTTGGCATTACAGGGTTAAGAATAGGCTATATGCGACCCTATACACAGTGGTTGGTCTATCTGAAATCTGCACGCCTCAGCTCAGCCCTCAGTTTCCACCCCTCCCATCACTGTTTAACAATTAGCAAACTCTCTAGCCGACCAATTCCGAGTCACACCATGTCTGCTATAAAAATCATGGTGGAGGGAAAGAGGCTGAGTGTCTGATATACAGCAAAATCCGCAAGAAGTGCAAAAGAACAGTTAGCATGAGCTAAGAAGTGATAAGAGGCAGAGCAGACTGAAGTACCAAAAATGTTTGTGTTTATGTACTGTATATGTTTTCTTGTATGTTTTATGCACTTAGGTCCGAGTAAAGTGTATATGTTATGTGCTTATGTCTGTTAGGTGCATATGTTAAATAATTAACCGCAAATGTCTACATACAACACTACGAAGACAGTGAAATGTTTGAAACATTTGCAAGCTTATTAATATAAAAAAACTAATACATTTCATCGACATACACACATTGATTACTGCCTTACGTAAATGTGCACATGACATCTAAACCTTACTCTGATGTTGGCACATAACACACACAAAGACACATAAACATATATTTGGCACAAATGTAACCCTATTATAAACAGCAGCCAGCCAGATAGAAGGATGTCTGCATAAAACCTAACAAACTGGTAAGAAGTAGCTGAGGGTGGTAGAAATAGCAGAATTTAAATTCAAGTATGTTGTATTTTTTGTCTGCATGAAATGTTATTACCATAACAGCAGCATTGGTAAAGGATATGGATTGAGTTATAGCATAATTTAGAAGCTATGAAAAGATGTGTCTAATGCTATGTTTGCACCACAGATGATTTGAACAGTGGAAACAGGCAGTTTACATGCAACGTCTATGAATCATTCATAGACGTTGCAGCAGGAGCAGAGCATATTGAATATGGGACGGTTCTAGAGGGGCGGCCAGGCTGACCATAGTCACCCTTAGCCAATCATTGGCCACCCCTACCAGGTTATTTGTTGTTCT